ACAAAAGGGAGTTGGGGAGCGTTTGGGGAACATCTGTAACGGTTCCCGTTACAATTAGCCCTAGTTATGTTCCCCAAACGAAGTTGGGGAACATATTGTTTTTACTCTGTTTCTTATTATTATTATTATTATTATTATGTTCCCCAAACGAAGTTGGGGAACATATTGTTTTTACTCTGTTTCTTATTATTATTATTATTATTATTATTATTATTATTATTTTTCTTCTTCCTGGGAAAATTTTGTCCACGAGTGATCTTGTAAACAACACATCTGACTTAGGTGAAACCTTTTTAGGGTCAGTAGGCATGTTATGTAGAGTTGCCAAACGAAGGTCATTTTGTGCGCACGTGCTTGCAAGAGCACGCACGTGCAACATGTGAAATGACCGATATATTGGATATTGCCGTAACTTTTCTATTTTTTGATGAACATTCTTAAAACTCATAATGTAAGGATATATTAGTAGTATAGACAAGATGACATGGTCAAAATAGCAAGATCTCACGCGCATGCACGTGCGCTTCGCTTTGATTGGCTGAAACTAAAGTCTCAATATCTTTCTTGTTTTAAGTCATAATCCTGTGAAATTTTGAACTTAGTCACACATTATAAAGGTCTACAGCCTGATATATAAGAATTTTCATGAAAGCACGTATATGCACATGTGCTGGAAAGAGCGTGCACGTGCAACATGTGAAATAACCAATATTATTGTTGATGCCATAACATTTCTATTTCTTGATGAATTTTTTTGAAACTCATAATGTAAGGATGCATTAGTAGTATAGACAAGACGACATGGTCAAAATAGCAAGATCTCACGCACATGCACGTGCGCTTCGCTCTGATTGGCTGAAACTAAAGTCTCAATATCTTTCTTGTTTTTTGTCATAATCCTTTGAAATTTTGAACATAGTCCTACATTATGAAGATCTACAGCCTGATAAATAAAAATTTTCATGAAAGCATGCGCATGCGCGCGTGCTGCAATCTGATTGGCTGAAACTTTAAATGGCCATATCTCCCTTGTTTTTTGACGAAATGCTTTGAAATTTAAAGCATAGACATGCATTAGGATATCCTACAATATGAAATAGAAAAAATTCACGAAATCACGCGCATGCACGTGTGCTGCAATCTGATTGGCTGAAACTTGAAATGGCTATAACTCCCTTGTTTTTCAACCAAACAGGATGAGATTTAGAACATAGATAGATATAAGGGACTCCTAAAAGAAGGTATGGCCATCATGCACGTGCACGCACGTGCATGCATTTGGAACTAAAAATACACTTGAATGAGTAATTTTTAATACTTTTGGACTGAATGCTTTAATATATAGTATATTAAAATATATATATAGTGTAGACAAGATGATATGGTCATAACGCACATGCATTCACATGCACAGGGGTGCAATGCTACAGTTTGAATATAATTGGTATCCTTTGGTAATTGGTATCCTTCTCGGTAAACGTTGTTAAAGTCAAAAATGCACAGAGTTTGTCTTATTTAATGAAACTTACAGGAAATATGGCACCAAAATGAAGCTGGGGAGCGTTTGGGGAACATCTGTAACGGTTCCCGTTACAATTAGCACTAGTTATTATTATTATTATTTTTCTTCTTCCTGGGAAAATTTTGTCCACGAGTGATCTTGTAAACTATACATCTGACTAAGGTAAAATGTTTTTAGGGTCAGTAGACATGTTATGTAGATTTGCCAAACGAAGGTCATTTTGCGCGCACGTGCTTGCAAGAGCGCGCACGTGCAACACATGAAATGACCAATATAATGGATATTGCTGTAACTTTTCTTTTTTTTCTATGAATTTTTTTTAGACTCATAATGTAAGGATACATTAGTAGTATAGACTAGATGGCATGGTCAAAATAGCAAGATCTCACGCGCATGCACGTGCGCTTCACTCTGATTGGCTGAAACTAAAGTCTCAATATCTTTCTTGTTTCTTGTCATAATCTTTAAAAATTTGGAACATAGTCCAACATTATGAAGATCTACAGCATGATATATAAAAATTTTCCTGAAAGCATGCGCATGCGCGCGTGCTGCAATCTGATTGGCTGAAACTTTAAATGGCTATATCTCCTTTGTTTTTTGACGAAATGCTTTGAAATTTAAAACATAGTCATGCATTAGGATATCCTAAAATATGATATAGAAAAAAAATTCATGAAATCACGCGCATGCACGTGTGCTGCAATCTGATTGGCTGAATCTTTATATGGCTATATCTCCTTTGTTTTTTGACGAAATGTTGGAATTTTAAAATATAGTCATTCATTTAAATATCCTTCAATACGATAAAGATAAAAATTTATGAAATCACGCGCATGCATGTGTGCTGCAATCTGATTGGCTGAAACTTCAAATGGCTATAACTCCCTTGTTTTTCAACCAAACAGGATGGGATTTAGAACATAGATAAATATAAGGGACTCCTACAAGAAGGTATAGTCATTATGCACATGCATGCACGTGAAATGAGTAAAATTAAAAATACACTCAAATGAGTGTATTTTTAAAAACTTTTGGATTAAATGCTTTGATATGAAGTATATTAATATTTTAGATATTGTAGACAATGTAATATGGTCGTTACGCACATGAACACGCTTGCAATGCCTATTTTTTTTAAAATATATTTTGTATTTTTCTGGGAAGACATTGATTAAGTATAAATTTCATAAAGTATTTCTCATTTAATAGAGGTTATAGGGAATATGGCACCAAAAGGGAGTTGGGGAGCGTTTGGGGAACATCTGTAACGGTCCCCGTTACAATTAGCACTAGTTATTATTATTATTATTTTTCTTCTTCCTGGGAAAATTTTGTCCACGAGTGATCTTGTAAACTACACATCCGACTAAGGTAAAATGTTTTTAGGGTCAGTAGACATGTTATGTAGATTTGCCGAACGAAGGTCATTTTGCGCGCACGTGCTTGCAAGAGCGCGCATGTGCAACACGTAAAATGACCAATATAATGGATATTGCTGTAACTTTTCTTTCTTTTGATGAATTTTTTTGAATCTCATAATGTAAAGATACATTAGTAGTATAGACATGATGGCATGGTCAAAATAGCAAGATCTCACGCGCATGCACGTGCGCTTCGCTCTGATTGGCTGAAACTAAAGTCTCAATATCTTTCTTGTTTCTTGTCATAATCTTTTGAAATTTTTAACATAGTCCTACATTATGAAGATCTACAGCATGATATATAAAAATTTTCATGAAAGCATGCGCATGCGCGCGTGCTGCAATCTGATTGGTTGAAACTTTAAATGGCTATATCTCCTTTGTTTTTTGACGAAATGCTTTGGAATTTAAAACATAGTCATGCATTAGGATATCGTAAAATATGGTATAGAAAAAAATTCAAGAAATCACATGCATGCACGTGTGCTGCAATCTGATTGGCTGAAACTTTATATGGCTATATCTCCTTTGATTTTTGACGAAATGTTTGGAATTTTAAAATATAGTCATTCATTTAGATATCCTTCAATACGATAAAGATAAAAATTTATGAAATCACGCGCATGCATGTGTGCTGCAATCTGATTGGCTGAAACTTTAAATGGCTATAACTCCCTTGTTTTTCAACCAAACAGGATGGCATTTAGAACATAGATAAATATAAGGGACTCCTACAAGAAGTTGTAGTCATTATGCACGTGCGTGCACGTGAAATGAGTTAAACTAAAAATACACTCGAATTAGTGTATTTTTTAATACTTTTGGATTAAATGCTTTGATATTAAGTATATTAAAATTTTAGATAGTGTAGACAAGATAATATGGTCGTTACGCACATGAACACGCGTGCAATGCCTTTTTTTAAGATATATTTTGTATTTTTCTGGGAAGACCTTGATTAAGTCTAAATTCCATAAAGTATTTCTTATTTAATAGAGATTACAGGGAATATGGCACCAAAAGGGAGTTGGGGAGCGTTTGGGGAACATCTGTAACGGTCCCCGTTACAATTAGCACTAGTTTACGTTAACATCTATATTTGCTTAGGAGAGAAATCAAAAAGAAACATTTTTTTAATCGGAGATAAAGAATATCTTAATACAAATTCTATTGAGCTGCTTCTATCATCAACCCATCAATGTCTATTTTGTCATTTAATTAAAAATAGCCAGGTATTAAATAACGATAACAAAAAAATATTTTTGTTAAGTTGTTGAAAAAGATGCAATGTCAATTAAGTTCTGACATTGCCTCCATAAAAAGACCTAAATTGTTGTTTTTATTTACATTTTTATAAAATAAACATCAAAGTATGGTTAAGTATATTAAATATTGTTTTATTGAAATGTACATCACTGTATGTTTCTTTGCTGGACTTCGCTTCTAAAAAAAAATATAAACAGTTGCTTATTTAACGGCAATCGGCAATCCTCGGCTGACTCCGCCACGCTCCATTCAAATACCTCTGATGTTATTGGTGGAGGAGTACGCATCAGATCAATACATTTCTCAATCGGATGTTGTCTTGTCATTCATTTCATATTTTTCTCTGCATATAGTTCCTGGAAAAGGTTTTTGAATTTGTCGAGGGTTTGATTACAACCTTATATAAGTACATGTAGGCTTTAATTAAAAAAATATTTTATTCACTGATGTTAATGTAAATGGGATTGGGCAGCAGGCTTAGGCTTTGAAAACAAGAAGAAAATGTTTAGCGTGTCACAAAGATACTCAGTTTTCAAATATATGTCATTTGAACGCAATTCAAATATGTTCATATGACTGAATCAGCAAGATGGTAGAATCCTTCGACGTCCGAGGTTATGTGCGAGGTACGAGCCATCCCAGGAACTCCGGAGTGGTTTAGTGTAATTACTGACAGATTAACTACCATTGTTTTCTGAAGAAAAAAGATTATAATATTTGGAAAGAGTATTTTTTTTTCAAGAATTGCAAATAAATGAAGATTTAGGTTTGTATTTTATGGGTGTAACATGAGGTTAAACACAATCACAAATATTCGGATGACACTGTTGAAATCTCTGATGTTGTCCCTAGTAATCAACATCATGTACCCAAATTTTATCGAATAAACTACAATCATTGATAGTTTAATGGGGGGAAAAACTCGGGGGAAAAAACTCGGATAACTTGTCGAGAAAATATCTCGATGAAAAAATTAATGATGATTACGCCGCCGCTGGGTGATCATATAATGTCGTTTTTTTTAATTTATTTGGCAAATAAAGAACGTATCAAGCCAAAATTATCAATATTTCCTTATTTTTTGTTGTTTTATGTTCCTTTTAAATTTTGAAAGGCCATACTACATAGTACTAATTTTATAGCCTCAGTCCTCAACGTTTTTGATATGTGAATTGATATCACTTTGTTTTGTTTAAACAGTCAAGGGGAAAGTGGAAAACCTTGGTATAGGGAGAACGACAGTCTAGAGCGGAACAGGAAGGCTAAGAAAGCTTACGAGGCCCTGATGACGATATCTATCAGGAAACCTACAAGCCTCGCCTACAGAAGTTTCTCAAACGAAGTTAAAAGTCAAGCTGAATACGGTAGCTTCGGCGAGGAGGAGGTTTGTGACGTCATCATCATTAAATCAGTTTTAAACAAATTTTTACTAAGCCAATTCTTGGTCATAGACATAATTGATTTATCCTCACTTGTTAACTTGTGCGTATATTCTCCCTTATAATGTTGGTAAAAATATTTATTTTTACTTAAGAGGTTACACCACTTGGAACACATTTTATAAGGTCAACTCACGAGTAAATAAAACTTAAACTTATCTCATCACAATAATTATGCCTGTGAAGAATAACAGAACCCTAGCACCAATTTTTTCACGTGGTGCAGTGGTTGGAGCGTCTGCTCTGGAATCGTAAAGTTGATCCTTACATGACGGGTTAGAATCCTACTGTGGGAGGTGTATATCGGTCCTTCGTATGAGACCTTATAAGCAGAGGCCCCGTGTCCCAGTAGGTGCTGACACGAAAAAGATACCATCCTGTTCAATGGCTCTAAGTGCCGCATATAGGACAAAATTTACCGATCTGCGACGGCAAATGGCGGCGTCTCCGTATGAGTGAAATTTTCTCCGGAGGAACGTTAAACAATATACAGTCAATCAAAAGTTGTGGTCAAGGTTAAGGTTTGGTAATTTTAGTAAACATGAGTCGAACTCCAAGGTCAAGAAGCCAAATTTGGTGGTACTCTAAGAAAGGTCTTCACAATGAATACTACTGTAACATATGAAAGCCAGAGCTTCTCCCTTTCGGAATTTGTGAAAAAGGTTAATGCTTTTGCTGACAGACAGACGGATGCATAGGGAAAACAAACCCTAGACAGTCAGTGTTATCGTAAATTTTTCATAACTGAAGCTGTTTATTGTATTCAAAATACGTACATTATTACATTTTATTTCCTAGACCTGTCACAAAAAATAGAACATGTTAAAGTGTTCCAATGTTGTTGATGACACACATATCAATTTGATGACACACATATCAAATAAAAATATGAAAAAAAAATTATGCAAACACCAATATTTATATTTATCATATACTTGTAACTTAGTAAATATTGATCTGCACCGCTGTCCGAATTTAGCATTTTCAAAATCCATTAGTTTTGAATAAATCGTGATAATTTAAAAATAATAATAATACAAATCATTTGAATTCAAAGAGCTCACTAGGCAGAAGGTTCTTTAGTCCGAAAACCCAATTAATACAGTAAGTTAAAAAGTTTACATGCATTGAAAAAAATAATTAGTGAAAGTCACTGGGAAGACTAGTAAATTTACTGTCCATACAATAACTACCTTAAAAGTAGTTTTACTAGGTATTTGGTAGATTTACCAGATAACATTAGTAAATCTAAGAATTCATTAGTAACTTTCACAAGGTATTTAAGTATCTTTACGACCACTACTCCACTTTTCACTATCTTCGCTAGTAAACAGAGTTATTACTAATCACTGTCCATACAATCACTACCTTAAAAGTAGTTTAACTAGGTAATTCTCTCAGTGCAGTGTCGGGCTCTGTGCAATTGTTCTTTAATATAACTTAACAGGCACAATCGGGCCCTTGTTCGATTCTTCAGATGCGTCCCTTTCAGTCATTTTAGGGAATTCCTTAACATACATGTATATACGGGTAGTTACTTTTCCCTATATGTTATTCTAATGAGACCTTATACACCGAGGTTCCTCTTCACACCAGAAAAAAAAGCTAGAAGGAGGTCTCCAAATTAAATGAAATTCGTTGATGCTTTGAATTTTTTTCCAGTCTGTTTTTACAATTTTGGTATCTGTGGCAGGTGAAATTTACATACTCTGTAAATAATTTTTTTAAAAGTTTTTTGACAAGAACTTTTCTTTAAGGTACAGAAGGCTATTTCTTCGATGTAGAAGTTTATTTTATTTAACTTGAAAAATGAAAAAAATAATAGATCTACTGCCGTTAGTTGTTTTGGTGCATGTAGTTTTAAGGGTATATGAGTTATTTGCTCATATATAACTCTTTTATTGACTCCATTGCTGTGGGAACTAGTCGGAATTTCTTGGCATGTTCCAACAAATACTAGACCAAGGTGTTTATGATTACAATAATCACGTAAGCAAATCGAATAATCATCGTCATGAAACAAATATCTGAGAGGTTTTTTTTTCTTATTTTTACATGCTTTTGATTCCTCAAATCTGCATGCTCTAAGCCCTGCTTTTGTGTCCTTATTTGTACCACCCAGCACGTGATTTTAAATAATTTTATATCGGACAACGACTGGAAACGTTAAAATGTAAATATAAAATTTGTATTTTTTTTCTCAATCGGACTAGTTAACCTTCGCACTAGTGGGCAGACCCAATTTGGATAACATATGACGTAAAATAATTGCCAGAGGTATGCTAGGAGTCCAAGAACTTTCTAAACAACGCTCGTATTTGAGATATTTTGTTCCCTTGCCTTGTGCGTTATCTTGCTTTGATTTTCCTTTAGGTGAACAGTTTTGTGGGCGCCTTTCACGACTCCTTTATACTATATGCTCTCGCCTTAAAGGAGACTTTCGCCAATAACGGTTCTATAAGTAACGGGACAGAAATGATTGAAAGGATGACGAATAGATCATTTCAAGGTAAGCATTAACCATAAACCTTTTTTTCTATATCGTTTTACTTAGGATTTTAAAGATGCATAAATCACCCAACATTCCAATAGTCACGAGCCAATGGTTCGTGCCGTAAACGTGAAATTCATGGGAAATCTGCATAAATTACTCCGGTTGGAAACAGTGAAGCTTAACTTCTTGTTTTCGTCTGGCGCTGGAAAATACTGCCTTTAAAGTTGCAAATAAATCCTCCTCGGATAAATGTTTTCCAAATGGAAGATTCCGGGGTTTGTAATCAACCTGATCTCCCATATACTTGCACCACTGAATATCACACAATGATTGGTCTCCAAACATAAGGTGTGGTATGGAATCTAAATTCTTTCTAGACTGGTGCAATCAGTCTAAGCTTTCACAGCATATGCAAAACATTTGCTCAAGTGTTTAATAGTCTTTGGTCCAAGAATCTGATACCGTTTGTTTTTCCTCAATTCAAATAATTTGTTCGTAATTTCTTGCGTATGCTTAAAGTTAGCAAATGTTTGGATGGAAGGATCAAATGCGGATGTATCGTTAAAATAAAAAAATATCCATATATTTCATACATTGTAAAAAGAGTTTTAAGAATAAGATATTTTTGTTTCACAAACCTCGTGTGAAATAAGTATTGTCTAGTTCTTTGCAAATTGATTTGGTAGCACGATCGATAGCACTAGAAACACTTGATCTTGATATGCCATGCAGGTCACCAAACTCAGAAAAAGGAGGCTTTGCAAAGTACCTTATGGTCACCAGCACCTGAAACTAAAAGTTTCAGAACAGGGTTTTCAGACTTTTTCGTACAGAAATAAAACAAGTAACCTTTCATTGATAGGTTTCACCGTATACAACGGGTAACGCGGGGGAGTCGCTAAAAAGTATGGGGGAGTCGTTTTCAACGTATGGGGGAGTAGATTTTCACCGCTTCGGAGTCAGAGGAGATGTGGGTCACGTCTTTTTTCGGTATATATAAGATGTATTTACAAAAAACAAATATCCCACGGAAGATGGCAATAGTTAAGCTTTATCGTGGTCATTTGTCCGGCTATCATATACGTCTAGTTTTCTCAAACACTTCGAAACTATTTGACAGTTTTCATATTTACGTTGATCGGGTGGTAAAAACATGCATGATTTGCACAATCTACGGCTTGCGTAGGGATTCTCACATTTAAAACAGCGAGAGAACATGTTTATCTTTCAAATGCAACAACTTAAACTTGACTAGACTTTATAAAAATTAATAATTAAGACATTTTCTCTTCAGACAGTAACGGTTACGTAGGGGGAAGTCGTTTATAGGAAAGCACATCGCAGGGGGAGTCGCAAAATAAAGTCAAATGCATATACTTGGTGTTGTTTTCATCTCTTGTATACTGCCAATACCTTTTTATTTACTCGTAGATATCTATAAATCTATGTTTGGTTAATAAAGCATAAAAATGAACAGACAGTAAAAATTCATGGTGGTATACCTCTCTTTTTCATCTGTGATTAATACATCACAATTCCTATCTGCAACTGGCTCAAATATACGGCCTGGTTTTCTTTTTCTTCTTTTTTAAGTTGTTGGAGATATACAGTGTAAATGGGAGGTTCAGCGCAGCAAACAGATTATTTATGAAGGTTTCCCCAAGAAGCGGTTTATAAAAAAAGCGTAAACAGTCCCAATTTATTTCATATCGTATAACATAAGTTGAATCAAGCTTCATTCCCCACAATTTAATTTCTTTGTAGACAATGAGACAATTTTTCCATTTGTTCCTTCGGCTTCAAATATTTTAAAAGTTAACGTCCAGCGGAGTAATACGTTTTTGACGTAACTCATTGTGGCGTGGACAAGTAATGTTATACAAAATGGATAAAACCACTTACTCAATCAAATGACGTGTTGCAATTGAAACTAAATTATATCGTTTTAATTAATATGTTCATCAATTTGTTTAATACACTCATTTATACCTTTATCACGGAAAATTACGGAAAGGCAAATAAAATCTGCTGATACTATTCAAAAAGTGACAGGTATATTAATCAACGTCGTATCTTTCCTGTTAAGTGCATATACTGTATACCGGGTAATTTTCGCCCCGTGTTATTTTCGCCCTTTCATACTTACAAACAATTTAGCCCCGTTTTAAATTCGCCCAGTCGTAGTTTTGTTTAAGAAATTATCCTGTATTCTTTGAATTCGCCCAAATGAGAATAGGGCGAAAGGGGCGAAAATTTCTCTGTATACAGTATATTGAATAAACAAACACATATTTACTCGTTACATATATGAATGATCCTGTTGCAAAATATTAACGACTTGTTTAAATTACTTCGGCGGGACCTTCTTCTCGATCCCCACATCCCCATATTCATTGTTTACATTGTTGTTCTCATTTTAGCACTTATTTTCTGAAGGAGATTTGGGTGCTTCAAAGCGCTTACAAGATCTTTATTATTTTCTTACCTTCTTAGCAATAGAGAGCTTCGAAGCGGTTCCTTGTGAAATCGACAATATAGAAATCGATGCTAAATCGGAAGTTATAAGATATTCTTTCTCCACATACGTTAGTCAATAGATAGATTTTTTTCTTGCTAATCGATAACTGATCTTTGATTTATCCTATAGTACTGATCCCTCACCTCAGAATTAAATGGTCGAATGGCCGGTGTTGTTTTGTCTTTTTTTTAATTATAAGGTATTACCGGTACTGTTAGCATTGACGTTAATGGAGACAGAAGTTCCGATTTTTCTCTTCTAGACTTGGACCCGGTGTCAGGAAATTTTGAGGCAAGTATATCAAGCCTAATATGAAGTATTTGAAACTCCAATTTATGAAGAAGTTAAAAGATATCTTAACCAATAATTGTACTGTTGTTTTAGAAAAGTATTGATGTAATATATTTAGCATTCTGTTTGAATATGAGTCCGTATGTAATACCATCCCTTTCTTTTTAGAAAACCCAGTGGGATCCGGGTTAGAATAGGTCCTCAGTACCCCCTTGCTTGTCGTAAAAGGCGACAAATTGTGGCGGTCCTTCGGATGAGACCGTATAAAGCGAGCCCCCGTGTCACAGCAGGTGTGGCACGATAAAGATCCCTCCCTGCTCAAAGGCCTAAGTGCCGAGCATAGGCCTAAATTTGCAGCCCTTCACCGGCAATGGTGACGTCTCCATATCAGTGAAATATTCTGGAGAGGGACGTTAAACAGTATACAGTCAATCAATCATTGCCTTAGAACATTTTGGAACATTGAAGGTCACTGGCGGAAAGTATACAAAATTCATTTATAAACCATTCTTAAGTCTGAGAAGGTTCTCCAGACTGAAAATGCTCTCAACTCCCCAATTCTCAGACTCAGACGCCGCCATAAGACTTTTGAGTAATAAAAATATTCTCTAACTTAGTTTTATTCTCAAATATTAAAGTAAGGTTACTTAAAAATATTCTCAAGAAAACAATATGGCTGCTGCACATAGAATTAGTGACGTTAAACAGTATAAATCAATCTTTTTAGAAAAGAATAGACCCTTTAATGATTAATTAACAAAGTCTAGGCAGACATTCAAATATTTCAATTATTTAGAACAATTGACGTCAGTTAATTATTTTTTCTTCATGTTTTTTTTTTAAATGTGTCTGTCTTGTTTTTTTTTCAATTAAGCGCAAGAGAGATATTTTTTTAACAGGTTGTGGCTTATTTCTTTGGCAACGTTAACAAATACGTGCCAATTCCATCCAAGAAGAGTCATTGGGCTGGAAACATAAATTCGCCGCCACCGGATACTCCTAAGTGTGGTTTTGACAAAGCTAAATGTCCATATAAAAGTAAGACTTTTCGCACATTATGTTATGCCATGATCTAGTATGAAATATGCATTGGCAAAGAGAGATAAATGTTCCCATAAACTCAATGCTGTTAGGAGTCCCTTGGGATTTATAAGCTTTCCTTCAGAAGAAAATCCAAAGCATCATCTTTATCTGTGACATTGAGATTAATTACCACCTCTCTGCAAATGAAGTTTGTTTTGAAGTTTAGTCAATTAGGAATGCTATGAACACTCTGAAATGTGGGTTTAAATATAAATGTTTATACTTAATTTTGTAAAAATACCCTACACAATAAGGTTTGATTTTATTGAATTGTAAAAACAAGAAATAGATTAAAGAAGACATATTTCTTATTCTTACTTTTTTTCCTTTATGTAAATTCAGGAATATTATTAATTTTTAAGGTCGTTCACGTTGGATAAAACCCCAATTCTATCATTAATACTGAAAAAGTTCTTATTGTAACTTAAAAAGAAAATGATGAAATAGGAAAATTAATCCCTTGGGATTAATTATCAGCCTGCTGCTGAAAATTTAGTAGGCTTTTCTTTATCTGTCACTTTAAAATGAATGAAAATCTTTGTCTGCTGATTGTTTTGAAGTTAAGGTCAAGCCTTCATGATATTAGCATTCAATGAAGGCTGGCATTTTATATATAATACATTCCATGTTAAGTTGTTCTTAACTGCCTAAGTAAATACAAGGATCTTATTTACAGGTTTTTGGATATTCAGGATTTATCTTGAAATTTTAAGAATACAGTTGCTGTTGCTTATTCATCGTATATTTTTTAATCATTCCGTAAGCTGCATCCTTAATAATTCAACCCAATGGCGGGGCCCTTGCTAACTGGTCTGTTTTCTAGTTAGAACACAAACATTCTGTTAACTTAATTCCATGCACTTTGAAACTCCTGATAAATCTGCTCTTGTCTCCATTGCACCTGATCCCATCTCTGATATTTTGGAGGTCCGTGTTTGCTCTGCTCCTATTTCGTGTTGTTTTATGGACATTGATATTGAATACTGTTCATTATCTCTTTATCCTTCATACATAAAATTATGTCTATATATGCAGTTTTATTCTTCAGCTAATGTCACAGGAACTTCAGATGCTTCAAAGTCGTCTGCAAATGGCTCTAGAACTCTTGTCCAGTGTATCCTGGTCATGGTTATAAGAACATATTTTGGACTTTAAACAGACAAACGAGGTCACAGAATCTAAAGAAAAAACGGTGCCTTAGAATGTACCTGGAAAAAAATTGATATTCGAGCATTGTTAATTCTAATTTTTTATCTTATTTTTTCAGACTAAAAGATCGACAATGAAGAGCTTTGAATATTCTGATATCTATTTTAGAAAATGTATTTATATGTATTTAAAATTTGTGTATATTATTAAATGAATCCCTTTTTATTTCATTTTTATTAGCTCTTCTGAGCCAAAGGCTCAAAGAGCTAATGCTATGGCCATTTGTGCGGAGCATGTGCGTCGTGCGGTGTGCATTAACTTTTTAGAATATGGGCCAGAACTCAAGAACCCCTTGGCCAATCAGTCTCAAATTTGTCACAGGGTATCCTTGGCCCAAGGGCTACCATTTATACTAAAATAAGGGTTGCGACCCTTAAACAAGGGGAAATAATCAGGAAAACAAAACCAAAAGTACTGGTTGCAAAAAAATCTTCTCCAGAACCACGAGGCAGATTTTCACCAAACTTACATACAATGATCCGGATATGTTGAAGATTAAAAATTGTTCAAGGCCTGACCCTGGGGCAAAGGGCGTGGTCTCAAGGTCACTTCAAAGTTGACCTAAATTTACAATTAATGAAAATGTCTATATTTTGCTTACTATAAGGACTAGGATCATCAAATCTTGTAAGTAGATGCATCTTAGGACTTCACATCATGTTAACTCAAAAGTAGGTCACAGTGACCTACTTTTTTAATTTTGCGGGCATTTGTTTTCAAATTGATTTGAAGGCATATTTTGTACCCTTTAAGGCCTATGATCATCAAACTTTGCCAGTTAATGCATTTTGGGTCCTTGAACAACGTCAACTTAAAAGTAGGTCACCGTGACCTACTTTTTGAACTTTATGACTTATCCTTTTTAAAACATTTCATCCCATTATTTCAGACACTGAGAGGGTTAGAATCATCAAATCTTGTTAGTTGCTGCATCTTGGGACCTTAAAACATATTTTAGTAAAAGTAGGTCACTGAGACCTACTTTTAGAATTTTGCAGGCATTTGTTTTCAAATTGTTTAAAAGGCATATTTTGATTACCTTCAGACCAATGATCATCAAACTTGGTCAGCTGATGCATCTTGGGACTCTGAAAAATGTCGACCAAAATGTAGGTCACTTTGACCTACTTTCGACATTTTATGGCTATATTTCAGTATCTTAGTTATTTATTGGGTTAGAATCATCAAACTTTGTGAGTTGATGCATCTTCGGTTTTCGGAGAGTGACGACCAAAATGTAGGTCACGGTGACCTACTTTCAATGTTTTATTGCTATATTTATGTATCTCCAGTACTTATCGGCTTAGAATCATCAAACTTTGTCAGTTGATGCCTCTTGGGTTTTCGGAGAATGTCGACCAAAAAGTAGGTCACAGTGACCTACTTTTGAATATCTCGTGTATTTATTGGCTTAGAATTATCAAACTTGGTCAGCAGATGCATCTTAGGCCTCTGATAAATGTCAACCAAAATGTAGGTCACGATGAACTACTTTTGACATTTAATAGCTATATTTAAGTAACTCCAGTACTTATCGGCTTAGAATCATCAAACTTTGTCAGTTGATGCATTTTGGGTTTCGGAGAATGTCGACCAAAAAGTAGGTCAGGATGACCTACTTTTGACATTTTATGGCTATATTTAAGTATTCTTTGGTACCTATTGGCTTAGAATCATCAAACTTTGTTAGTTTATGCCTCTTGGGTTTTCAGAGAATTTCGGCCAAAAAGTAAGTCATGGTGACCTACTTTTGAATATCTCAGGTATTTATTGGTTTAGAATTATCAAACTTTGTCAGCAGATGCATCTTGGGCCTCTGATAAATTTCAACCAAAATGTAGGTCACCATGACCTACTTTTGACCTTTAATCGCTATATATAAGTATCTCCAGTACTTATCGGCTTAGTATCATCAAACTTTGTAAGTTGATGTATCTTGGGTTTTCGGAGAAAGTCAACCAAAAAGTAGGTCACGATGTCCTACTTTTGACATTTTATGGCTATATTCAAGTAACTCCGGTACTTACTGGCTTAGAATCATCAAACTTTGTTAGTTTATGCCTCTTGGGTTTTCAGAGAATATGGACCAAAAAGTAGGTCACGGTGATATACTTTTGAATATCTCAGGTATTTATTGTCTTAGAATCATCAAACTTTGTCAGTTGATGCATCTTGGGTTTTCCAAGAATGTAGACCAAAAAGTAGGTCAAGGTGACCTACTTTTGAATATCTCATAATACATATTGGCTTAGAATCTTCAATCTTAGCTTGTCTATTAATGCATCTTGAGTCCTCAGAAAACTTCAATCTTAAAGTAGGTCACCGTGACCTACTCATGTTTTTTTTATAGCTTTATTAAAATATCTTCAGTCCTAATTGGCTAAGAATCATCAAACTTTTTATCAGTTGATGCAACTTGGGTTTTAGGATACTTAGGGTTAGAGGCTTCAAATACAAGTGATAGGTTGTACAATTTATCAGAAGAGCGATTCAAGGCCCTTGGGCCTCTTGTTAATCATGGGTAAGATACTGTCTTCCTATTTCACACAAAGTATTAAAAATAATGTGTGATAGAATATAAATATATTTGTCAGTATATTTGAAAATAATTCTAAGGAATTTAATCAATCAAAAATCCTTAAAACAACACAACTGCTTTATGACAAACTATTCTGTATAATTTCATTTCTTTTTGTACTCCCCTTTCATAAAGTGGGAGGGGGGTATTAATTTCGGTCTGTCTGCCCGCCATAATTTATATTTTTCTGTAACACCTTCGTTTCTGCGAGATATCTAGCTTTTGAGATAGAATTTTACACTTTATATAGCCTAAGGAAGTTACCTATTTTTTTTTAGAGCCGAAAACGTCAAGATTATTAATTCTGTAATTTCCAAGTGATATACATGTATCGAGAAGCCTATGAGTTTTTGCACTGACATTTTGTACTTTAACTTCCTATGTGTTTAAAGATCCCAATTTCGGAGGTGAAATTGTTAAACTATCAGGTCAAAAATTTATTCATTCTGTTAGTATGTTGTTTAATTTTATACAATCATTTAATTTGACCCCCCAATCTCTTCTGAAAGTGTTCACCCACACCCTACCCCCAAATTCGCGCGAACTCGTCTTTTTTTAGTTGGGAACACAAATTCTTTTAATAATCTTGTTAAATATGTTTTCTGTGCATTTGTCTTCATATAAGGTTCAGAAAGAGATCACAGGCATAAAAGTTTGATAAACACATTAATTTAACGAATCTCCATTTGCTTTTGTCATATGAAAACACTGCTCAATCACAGTAGGTATTATAAAAGAGAATCTGGTACATGTAAAGAATAGCATAGCGAAAGTTTCTCAGCTGAGCAATGTGAGCCTCTTGTTAACTCGTTTTAGAGCCGGTTCCATATAAATAACAGTTCAAATTTCAGTCGACCTTCAGATATAACTGACTGGCCTAGGTTTATTCTGTGTTTAAAGCAACGAAGACAAATGCTTAATACATGATTTTACCGATACTCTTCTGATCGTCACCACTCGGAAGATTTTAATTCACAGTAACTTTCATTTAATGGCGAACTCTTGAGATAAGTGATATTTCAATGATCCCGTATCCTTACCCACTTCATGTTTAGTGTGGAGTTAAGTGCTAGGTATATGTGTTTAACTGCGTACTTAAATCTTATTTTATATCAGTCTCTTTATCTTACGTAAACCAACGTTTCTGAAATATTAGAAGTGAAGAGATTATCAACTTTATTTTAATACATATATACCTCGCAGCAGAGTAGTAATTTGGTATTTAAAAGTTATGTTTATAATACGAAATAGAAGGAAGTGTAGGTCAATGATTTAAAGTCAACCAAGAAGGTTGATATTTTAAAATATTTTAAGCAATCAAATTATTTTAGGGGATTGCAAAAAAAACTTGACAGAAAATATTGAAATTATTAATTGTCTTATAAAATATTTGTTTTTTCTGTATTGTTGACGGATTTTGCTGTTTACCAAATAAATGTAAAGAAAATAACGCGGATGTTACCGTTGACATTAGGATCTCTCTCCTCCATCGCCTCTGTTCTTTGTTTTCACAGGTCCTAGTCTACTCTTCCAACAACATGCATTGTGAAATTAAACTTTGATAACTGTTCCTTACCCTAATATTTCACTTTTTTCTGTTAATTCTCCCCCCCCCCATATTTCATTTGTCGCAAGTTAGCAACATTTCAAATTTTTTCCGATTAATTATGTTTTAATGTTTTTTTTGTCAGACAATCTTTAAAAAAATATTTTGTTGCCGTCTTAACTTGGGGTAAAATAATTGCATCAGTAGGTTCATTTAGGTGGGAATATCCTTTTTTACAAAAATTTTCAACATATTTTTTGATGGGAATGGAAATTTTAAAAAAATATCGTTTCCTGCAATGTATAAAATAGGAAAAATGATTCGAGCCATTTTTAGTCAGTCGGTCGGAAGAGGGCAACATAACATTTTTTTAAAAGACGGTTTGTTTGCTTTTCGCTGTACCCTCTCCCATCCCCTTCTTCGTAATTAAGATTGATCGCTGATGTACATATGGTAGCTTCATAAAATGAATGAAAATATCTACATTTTCATCCTAAATGGTCCCGAGCCTCTGCTATAAATTTCAACAAGATTATTTAATTGACATTAATAACATAAGAGCCACATGAAAAATATTTTTAAGTATGAAGCGCTACTTATTTTTTTCAGAAATGCTTTTTATGTGGAAATTTCAACACAGAGAGCAGAAAGAGTAACGGTTTATTATCACAACATTAAATTTAAAATATGAGGTGTATATGAAAATAATACTTAGTATCATACATGTACCAATTAAAAGCATGTTATAAATATCATAAAGCTATGCTTCGTAAGTCAGAATATCACACTGTTTATTGTAAGAAAAATACCTCTGTAACACATCTGTGTTACCTTTTTCTAAATATTTCTTCATGTAAATAAAAAAACTAATAAAAATTCTGTATTATGTACTTGAAACTGTAAACCATTTTTAAAATGGTCCCTAAAAAGCTAAAATTTATTCAATTAACAATGCTTCTGAACTTGGATTTAAATGTTTTATTGTTCAATATAATAAACAATTAGGAAGACATTGGCAACAGAAATAGAAGGTAATGTTTCCATAACATGATAGATTCATCGAATTGACTACTCAGAGGTTCAAAAAGAAAACTCTGATAAAGGAAACTATGAGTAGTTAATTATCATATTTTGTACTTTGAAAGTTATCTCTCTTATCAGAAGGTCAGGAGACCTTAATGAAATTTCAACGCGATTTTGATGGGGCTGGGTTGTTCAATACAAATCTAACGATACATGATTGGACGCCAGAAATCTGTTGAAGGCTGAAGATATTGACCTGTAAACTGGTAATTGATTAACTGTTGTTTGACGTCCTGTTGGAGACCACTGACGATTGATCCTTTCGTGCCAGGATGTACTGGGATATACGCAATAAGATTCATTCCGTCTCAAGTCTTAATGCATTTAAGTGGATTCCACATAAGGACATGAAGACGTTCGGTGTATACATATTGATCAACTCCTAACTATGCAACTCTAAAACGATGTTTAAGTCAATGACCACCAAATCAATTGGTAATGCAGATGCACAAAATTGCAACGGCACATTTTAGCGTCTCAACACACACAAAAACTAATATTTTAGATTACCTTTAATACATGTGAGAAAAGAAAGCATAAAGAACATTAATAAAAGTCAAATGAAATAAGGTAACTCTGGAAAGTTCTTATCATTTGTCTTTTTCTGTGTTTAAGACATCGAAAATACAAATTAGTTAACTGTAAAAATAGAGAGAGAAAAAATACATTCGTGGCAAGTACTGTCGATCAGTGTGAAAAAAATTGTCCTTTATGACAGATTATAGATAAAAACCATCTATTTGTTAAAATAAAATACATGTACCAATTCGCAAAAGACTCGCATTTTCCTCTTTTTGCCTAATTTTTCCTCATTAATTTACACAGATCTTAAAATCAAAACTCCCAGAACCATGGTAACGAAACCAAGGAAAGATGTTGCATAGCCACCTAAAAATAAAATAAAAAGCCGTTCAGCTGAATTAAAACTACAACGATGTACGTAAACATATATCTAGAGAACATATCTTACATCTTGGACATTTTTATTTCATTCATATTTAGCCTTTGTCTATAATAAATGTTTATCACACTGGTATATCAGGAATTAATTTAAACAATTGAACGTTTTCCTAACAAAATACGGGATTTAATGTCGCAGCTTTTTGTAGAAAAGAAATACATAACCCACTTACGTGTATAATGTATTTATGCCCCAGTAATCGGAGATTCGGTGTATATAATTTTTGTCGTGTCCGTCCGTCAGTCTGTCTGTGTGTTCGTCTTCAAAAACTCTAACACTGCCAATAAACTTTGACTTCGTGAAGCTATGACTTTCATATTTCACATGCTTATCCCTTGTCACGAGACCATTCTTTTGGTGTAACATATTTTGTTTGCATTTAAGAAAATGTTTTATCTCCGCTATGTTGCCATGGGGGGGGGGGGGGGGGGGAGAGGATCAGTGTTTCACAAACATCTTGTCTTTTTTTCTGCAAAAGCTGCGATGTTAATTCCGTACTAACAACCAAAGTAAAACATTTTGTTTATATTTACATCTCTATGAAAATAAACATTCAAAGTAAAATTAAATTTTTAATATTGTATTATACACGTATATGTCATTGTATGCATAACTGATGGAACAGCCATGTTTCAGGAAATCTTTGTACGTGGCTGGCTTTGTATTCTTTGTGGACTGAATAACGATAATTGTCTTCATAAGAAATAACGGAACCTAGAGATACTGTGAGAAATGAGCTCACTAAATGACACCCCCGCCTCCCATATGAATATGATAGCAGTGTCCTTGTTTTGCTATGGAAAACCTAAAATATAAGTCGGATCAAAAGGTAAAATAAGAGGTGCACAATTGCATTATGTAATAAAGATTCTCTGAAAGTTTCATCAAATTTCATGTAGTGGTATCAGAGGATTGCGGGTAAGATAGAGAGTACTCCAAACCGTAACAGACAGACGGACGGACAATCCGATTACTATTTACCCTCCCGCATTTCAAGCGGGGGGTAATAATAATATTCAGTGGATATAAATACTGTAGATTCCTAAATATACGCATGGAACTAATTATCGCCTAATTTCGCGAGAAGCACCACACGCGAAATAAAATTACTCGCCTTTATTTTTATGGTGCTGAAATGCATGTAAAATCTCTTAACCAACTGTCCATTCGTGAATTATTATTCTCGCGATTTGACATTGAAGAGCCCATTCGCGATAATAAATACTCTCGAAAAATAGGGAATTTACAGTATTTGATGCTATACAGCTGTTACATATAAAAATCGTCATATTCTACCCACAGGCCTTTAGATCGCTTAGAAAAAAAATTGAGGTGTTGAAAAAAAATACAGGCCTTTAGATCGCTTAGAAAAAAAATTGAGGTGTTGAAAGAAAATACAGACCTTTAGATCGCTTAGAAAAAAAAATTGAGGTGTTGAAAAAAAATAAAGGTATGGAACTCTTTTCATGGGGTACCTACTTTCGCCAATAAATTTTATCTAAATCAAATACTTTACAATTTTACTTTCTATCCATATCTATTCAAATATAAATAATCTTCATTACTACCAAAGTTCATTCCGTAATTCCTTATACTTCTCGAGATATTCTGAAATCAATTCCCAAATTGACAATAATTTTTTTACTCGACATCAGCTTGGGCCTTCACTAATTGTAAAGCGGGAACGACGGGACAAATTTTCCCCCGATTTTATTCTAAACTCAATGAATATTTGCTCATTTTCATTCAAGCTTTACAAGGTTTTTCTTTAATTTGATCATATGGTGTAACTAAGTCATAAACAACATTATAGCTGTCTAATTGATTTGAAAATCGAAAGGTATATAATGCATTCCGGGAAAAATTCGTTCTACCATGGCTTCATTTACATTCATAATCAACATGGCGGTAGTTGTTGATGTAAACGTTTTCAAATTAATTTTTCGCGAAAGGAATATTATTACGGACTTAACGTTACAATCTGGAGCAAGAAATTAACTTTAAATTGTTAAAAGATTTTGCAACTACTATGCAACTCTTCGCCGCACTTCAAACACCGTCTGTTTACATGTGAATGACCAGGGGCCCAAGCTAATGTCGAGTAAAAGAAAGTAGGTCATTTTTGAAATTGATTTCAGAATATCTCAAGAAATATATGGAATTTCGGAATGAGCTTTGGTAGAATTGAAGAATGTTTATCTATGAATAGATTTAAATAGAAAGTAGAATTTTAGAGCATTAAAATAAAAAAATATTCTATTAGCGAAATTAGGTACCCAGTGTAAGAGTTCAGTACCTTTAATTTTTTTTTACACAGACAATTTTTTTTAAGCGATCCAAAGGCCTGTGATTCTACCTTTTGATGTTGTACAAAACTGAATCAAAGTCTCTTCCGCGGCCTCTAATGTGGGTGTGACGTCAATGTTACATTTCTTTCCCGCAGCCTCCAGGCATGTTATGTAAACATTGACAGCCCTGTAGCAAAAATCAAAAAAAAGAGAATAAACAGAAAGTGAAAAGAAGCTTGAAACAAACATGATAGTTCCTTGTACACTTGTACATCCCCCCAATATAATTGTTTTATTTCGTGTAAACCATGGTTACCTGAAACTACATGTAGCTTGTGTGTTTCATGTCTGCCTTAACAGTATTTTTTTTTAAAAATGTCCAAACAATGGGCATTTGTGTTTATAACATACATCCAGTTTCTATTAATTCTCTTGATTTGAAGTGAGCAAATAGGGCAATCGTGTTTCTTAAATACATCCTGTTTTTATTAAAATCTGATGACAATTAAGTTGTTACAAGATAAAGGAAATTCTACTCTAAGAAAAGGACAGGAGAACAATTTAGGATGAATTTTACACTTCTTCCTTACAAGTGGCAACAAGAAGCAATTGTGTTTATCAAATACATCTTGGTCAATTTAAAATCCGCTAACTTCATTTCAACTATTACCCAAAGGTTTGTCCCTGTCGTTTTTAAAAACAATACAGATACAAGATACGCTTTTATAAGGGAGAGGAAATTCTACTCAAGGAAAAGAAGAGAAGGGGGAAGGCTTTTCTGGTCTCCTTTATGATAGTGCCCTTCCTTAGAAGTACACATAAATAGGGTATTTATGTGTGTCAAATACACTTTGATCAATTTAAAATCTTACATTTTTCATAACTTTTAGCCAAAATGTCCCCTCAATTAATACCTACGTGTACAATTAAGCTTTTAAAAAAGAACTCTACTTTAGAGAAGGAAATTTGGCCGTAGCGGTCGATTCTTTTTCCTATGGGGAATTCTTCTCTATAGTGTAGATTCATAGACAAGGGATGCTATATGTGTAAAATCCTACTCTAAAAATCATAAAAGGCTTATCTCGTTTTATTAAAAAAAAATCAAATTCATAAAAAGGAGAGTGCATTGAAACAAGATAGACTTACTTGCATAATTTGCCCTGGTTTTGTCCGGCTACTGCTTCAGCGGATTCGTACTCTGTGGTTCAGTCATTTACATCTTGACAAGTCTGTGCATCTATCCCTATGATATAAATTACATTTTCTTAATAGTTACACATTTGCTAGCGAACCTTGTTATGTCTTAATTATACCCCCTGCAAACGAAGTTTGGGGGAGTATATAGGAATCACCTTGTCCGTCTGTCTGTCTGTCCGTCTGTCTGTGCAATCGAGTCCGGTCCATATCTTTCTTACAGAGGGACATTAGAATCTACTACTCCACACTGAGATTGCTCATGACCTAAGGGTGTGTCATGACCTTGATCCAAGGTCATTTGGGGAAGTTCAAGGTCACTGGAAGAAAAATTTCATAATTGGTGTCCGGTCCATATCTTTCTTATGGATAAACTTGGTAGGTTTTCATTTCACACAAAGATTGCCCATGACCCAAGGGTGTGTCATGATCTTGACCCAAGGTCATTTGGGGAAGTTCAAGGTCACTGGAAGAAAAATTTCATAATTCGTGTCCGGTCCATATCTTTCTTATGGATAAACTTGGAAGGTTCTCATTTCACACAAAGATTGCCCATGACCGAAGGGTGTGTCATGATCTTGACCCAAGGTCATTTGGGGAAGTTCAAGGTCACTGGAAGAAAAATTTCATAATTCGTGTCCGGTCCATATCTTTCTTATGGATAAACTTAGTAGGTTCCCATTTCACTCAAAGATTGCCCATGACCGAAGGGTGTGTCATGACCTTGACCCAAGGTCATTTGGGGAAGTTCAAGGTCACTGGAAGAAAAAATTCATAATTCGTGTTTGATACATATCTTTATTATGGAAAAACTTCTGAAGAACCCAGCGGGGGGTATTTTGTCCCGTTTGGACAGTTCTAGTTATTTTTAATACTAACATTCCCTCTAATTTATAACATAAAGAACTTTTTTTATCTATAATTTCGCTCCTACCCCTAATGTGTGTAACAATCTCTACCCGAATAAAAAGAAAATAGAAATCGTAATATAATAGAAACTCTTACTCTACAAGTAGCTACAGGTACTTAAGGTGGCGCACCATTAATTTCACTTTCAACTACTACTGACAAACAAGGAATTTAACGTTGAAAAAACTGTTAATGTATGATCCTACCTTCCTTGACAAGACTGACAGACAACAAAGCTGCGAGGATGGAAGCGATAGCCGGTACAGACATCTTGAAATATTTCTATAAATAAAAACATTTGTTAAGAAAATCAACTTAAGAAATAACACAATTGAAACGAGACCAATACATTCCAGTGAAAGCCAGCGAATACCGCAAAAAACAAGTGCAGCGCAAATGAATTTCATGCGCGAATCCTGCAAAGTAAAAATTAGTCCTGACTCTGCGACTTAAGAGCAGACACTCGAACCACTACGAAATGCAAGCAATAGCAAGAGACATTTGTGTTTGAATTCAGTTGCACTTATTTGTATTTGTGTAATTTTAGTCGAACAGTGAACTTAAAGTAAAATAAAGAAGAATGCGTAAAAAACTTCTTTTGTAAATGGCTTTGGCCCATCACTTATGAGTCTATGTTTTGCATCCAGTAAAGTAAACTATCTGCGCACACAATAAGCCCTGCAATATTCCTTTTAAGTTCACCTGAGTTGAAGGCTCAAGTGAGCTCTTCCGATCAAAATTTGTCCGTTGTCTGTCGTCGTCGTTAACTTTTCACATTTTCATCTTCTTCTCAAGAACCTTTTCCTAGTGCAAAACATTAACGACTTGTTTAAATTACTTCTGCGGGACCTTCTTTTCGATCCCCACATTCATTGTTTACGTTGTTGTTCTCATTTTAGCACTCAGTTTTTGACGGAGATTTGGGGACTTTAAAGCGTTTATAAGATTTTAATGATTTTCCTATCTTCTTGGCTTTAGAGAGCTTCAAAGCGTTTCCCTGTGAAATAGACAATATAGAAAAACGATAATGAAATCTAGAGGTAAAGATATTTTTTCTCCATATACGTCACAGGTCACATGGTGTGGAGGACCCTTAAGGGGGAGGCACACTAGTCAATGATAGATTTTTTTCTCGCTAATCGAGGACTTATTTTTTATTTATCTTCTAGTACTGATCCCTCGCCTAAGAATTAAACGGTCGAATGGACGTCATATTATACCGGTGCTGCTTTATCGTTTTTTTATTATAAGGTATTACCGGTACTGTTAGCATTGACATTAATGGAGACAGAAGTTCCGATTTTTCTCTTCTCGACTTGGACCCGGTGTCAGGAAAGTTTGAGGTAAGTATATCAAGCCTGATATGAAGTGATTGTAACTCCAATTTATGTAGAAGTAAAAAGAATTTTTTTAACCAATCATTATACTGTTGTCTTAAAAAAAGTATTAATGTAATATATGCATATTTTCAGCATTCTGTTTAAAAATGAGTTCATATGTCATACAATCCCATTCTTTTTGGAAAAGAATCGACCCTTTAATGATTAATTAAAATAGTCTTGAAAGACAATCAAACATTTCCATTATTTAAAATAATAAAATAATCGGTAAATAATTTTCTCTTCATGATTTTTTTTTTTTGTTACAAATGTGCCTGTCTTGTTTTTTTTTCATTTAAGGTTTCGTCAAAAGTCAACATGTCCAAATTTATTTTTACAACAGCTCCGAAACTATGTGAGGTATAAAGTTAGAACTTTTACAGTTTATAAATTTTTCATTGATTAACAGATAGAAAGTATCATTTGATAAAAAAAAAAAGATGGAAAAAAATATTGAGAAAATTTCTTTTTAAAATGCATATTTTTTCAAAAAATGCACCTAATTAATTCCGTGCTTTCATTGCAGAAACAAAATATGTGTATCAATAAAGGGCAAGTTGGACTTGGATAGCCTTTGGAAAGTTTTTTTCCCTGTTTATTTTATCCAAATGTTAAGACTTGAAAGCGAAAGTACATTGCAAATAGCGGATTCTATCGGGGTCTTGTCTTTATACATGTCATGCTTTCAATAACAGCCTTTCAGAGACCATTCACGTCCATCTTGCCCTTTAATGATAAACATATATTATTTCTGCAATGTTTGTTTTCACAAAAAGGACAGAATTAAGCAGGTGCATTTTTCTTTAAATATGCACATTTTCTAATACAAGTTTTCTCAAAAAATATCTTTTTAAAAATATTTGTTACCAAGTGATACTTTTTCTTTATTAAGGAAAGAATTGCACGGGTCCGTGAAAAAATTCTGCCCAATGAATTTTTCTCATTTTTACATATAACCTTCCTAATGTCAATGATATCATTATATCGAAGTATCAAGCATGGTCATCAGGCTTATAAGGAAGTTATGGTTGCCATGGTAACCACCATTTTTTAATCTTTTGATATTTATGAGGTGAATGTTTTATATTGCCATACATGCAACAAAATTGAAGCAAATTAAATATTTTCCTGCAGATATTTAATAATATGCTTTATATTTATTGAAAATAAAAATTGTTACGGAAACTATTGATAAATGTAGCAATGCCATTGATTTTGGGGGAAGTATTAATTGTAAATTTGCAGTAATATTTTCAACTCAATAACAGTTTTTAACGTCTAGACAAAAAATTACCAATGAATTTTCCCAAAACTAATATATGCTGTACTAGTCATTATAAGTGACTTATGGTTAAAATATGAAGTAAGGTAATCAGATTAATTTTGAAGCTACACGCATTTCAGTACCACCCCCCCCCCTCCTAGAATATTAAAAGATTTCACAGATTTTCATATGATGGTTTGTTGTTGGACCTTAAATATGCATAATCTGTTTAAAGACAATAAAGGCCATATGTATAGATAAATAAATACTTTTTCCTCTGAAAATCTGGCAGCTGGTGCTCATTCTATATGTGAAACACAATGATTTACTTATCACCGACAGTGGTCACGAAAATAATTTTTTTTCAAACTCAGTTTTTCATCTCCATAATATTCATTTTGTTACTATATCAGTATAAATAAATAATATATTAAAAACCAGTGTATACAGTCCTCAAAGGCCTTATTCTTCATGCTTTGAACAATCAGCGATATTTCTACTTAGTGACCTGGAATCGGCAAGGGGGGGGGGGGGGGTTCAGACATTTGAACACATTGAATAAAAAGAGGTAATTTTATAAAACTTGTAACTGCATTATATTTTTTTTAAATAAATGTATTCATCCATAAATAATCTTATTGGCCAAATTATAGTAATAATTATTCTAAATATTCACATTTACACATAGTTTTCCTTCCGATTCTTTTCAAGTAAGTACACTTCATTTTCTCTCTACATGGATGAGCGCTATCTCCATTGTGACGTCATAATGTCACAATTGACGTCAAAACTAGATCTACTGTTTTGATTCAAAAATAATCATTGATTGAAATAACTTTCCGTCGCTTTATGATATATGCTGGAGTGAAACATCTATATTCATGTCCATGTGATTAAAAATAAAACATTTTTCAAATGTATTCCCATAAACATGATGAGTTCACATGTTTCTTTTATTTATTTATGTACATATTTTCCCAGGTATTCTTTCAGAAGAAGTGTGTTGTGTTTCAATACGGCGCATAAAACATTTTACAACAATCGTTTACAATATATGTGCGGCGATCATTGAATGTTTACACGGTCAATGTCACTGCTGAAAATGCTAAAGATCTTATAGGAGAAAACAAAATTCTCTGCGACATTTTTTAAAGATATGTCTTCTACAAATAAGTGGTCTTCGCCGTAACATGCTTATCAAAATCGCCTTCGTTCATCAATATTTATACATCTAGTAAATCACGCCGTCTGATTCTCTTATTCGAAATTATCTATACACAGATGTAGATCCTATGATACACAACAATCTTAAATAAAATTCTAATTTTAAAATGAGGATATAAACCCCAAGAAATAAATTAAATTTATTTTTAATGAAATAGATTTCAATGTTCATAGATATACAATAGACAGACGTGTCAAATCGTAAAACATGCACGTAGATAAAAAATATGATCAACGCTCGCCAACACTTTCAGTGCATCGTAACAATCTTTAATATCTTATACTTTCTCTACTTTAGAAACAAACCCCATTTGTCATGAGCGCAAACATATGACGCGCCTTATTCCGGAAATAGTTACAGCAAACATTCTTTTTTTTATTCACCAAATGACGTGATCACGTGACGCCGTGCAATCGCGTCCTTAATCAATGATATATTTATAAACTGTAAACGTTTTGACTTTATACCACACATAGTTTTGGAGCTATTGTAAAAATAATTTTTAGACATGTTGACCTTTGACGAAACCTTAAGCGCAAGAGAGATATTTTTGAACAGGTGGTGGCTAATTTCTTTGGCAAAGTTAACAAATACGTGCCAATTCCATCAAAGAAGATTCATTGGGCCGGAAACATAAAATCACTGCCACCGGATACTCCTAAGCGTGGTTTTGACAGAGCTAAATGTCTACATAAAAGTAAGACTTTTCGCACATTATGTTATGGCATGATCTAGTATGAAATAGGCATTTTCACCATTTTTATATCTCACGTGCCAAGAAAACGTTAGAACAGTGGCAATGATGAAAGTGGAAATTCGACACCTCTGACTGTAGGCGGCAAATTGAAGGCGGAATTCTTGGGTCAATACCTTTAAGCATAGAAAAATGTCTAACCAAGATTTTAGCAAGCTTACATGCTTCTACTTCTTATCAGTATCTTCTTTTCAGTATCGCTTTTTGCTTTTATAATGCGAACTATCTAATTAGAACACAAACGTTTTGTTAATTTAATTTCCTGCACTTTGAAACTCCTGATAAATCATCTGAATTTTTATAAGGCATAACTTGTGAGTTTACAATTAATATCTATTTGCAAATATCAAAGTGATGTTCAACTGGGAGTGGAGAATTTGCACTTTTTGAAATGGCACCGGTTTTTATGATATTCTGTCACGTGAAATATCAAAATCATGAAATTGAATTAGGCAGGATCAGACACGAAAAATGGAAATGCATTGGCTTAAATCTAAACTCTGAACAACCTCACTAAGATATAAAGATTGATATGTAATTTCACCCTTTTTCATCCATACTTTAATCACCTGTACTGGTCATAGATCAAAGGAGAGTTACATTATGAAGTAACCCCACGAAACTCCTATAGTATTGGCCCGACGTTTTCTTTTTTTCATGCCCCCTCCAACCTTTCGAAAAGGGGAAGGCGCTTTGCTACTGTCTATTGGTCGGTCTATATCTGTTTGCCATCAATCCACAAACAGTTTCCGTTCATTTTATAAGCAGAGGTTGCATATAGCGATATGAAATATGGTATACATTTTTATCATGAGAATGTGTATCAGGTTATGTTTTCGAATATACGATGGAGCAATTTTTGACAGAATATACATATATTGCAATGATACTTGGTATATAGATTTATCTAAAAAAAAATCTAGGACACGTTCTGCTCTTGGTACGAGAAAGCAATTTTTGACAGAGTTATGCCTCTTCGAACTTGGAAAATTCCTATTATTTGTAGTTTCCATTCAAAATCGATGTAAACAAATTCACGCGAAAGCATTGTTGTAAAATTGTATTTGGGATAGAAGCTTATTTTGGCCTAGTCATGTAAAGCATGTTTCTTCTCTTTTAACAAACATTGGAGTTAATTGGAGTGTGACCAGTCGGCAGGGGATGCTCACTCCTCCATGGCATCTGATCCCACCTTTGGTATTTTGGAGGTCCGTGTTTGCTTTGCTCCTATGTCGTATTGTTTCAGGGACTTCGATATTAAATACTGTTCGTTATCTCCATATCCTTCATACAGAAAATTATACCTATCTATACAAGTTTTATTCTTCAGCAAATATCACAGAAACTTCAGATGCTTCCAAGACGTCTGCAAATGGCTCTAGAACTCTTGTCCAGTGCATCCTGGTCATGGTTATAGGAACATATGTAGGACTTTATACAAACAAATGAGGCCAGAGAACCTGAAGTAAAACGGTGCCTTAGAATGTACTTGGAAAAAAATTGATATTCAAGCATTGTTCATTCTAATTTTTGGTCTTATCTTTTCAGACTAAAAGATCGACAGTGAAGAGCTCTGAATATTCTGTTATCTATTTTAGAAAATATACTTAAATGTAATTATAATTTGTGTATATTATTTTATGAATCCCTTTTTATCAATCATGGGTAAGATACTGTCTTCCTGTTTCACACTAAGTATTAAAAATAATGTATGATAGAATATTAATATATTGTCAGTACATTTGAAAACACGTGATTTCAAGATAAAATTCTAAGGAATTGAATCAATCAAGAAATCCTTAAAACAACACAACTGTTTTATGACAAACTATACTGTTTAATTTTTTATATTTTTGTCCTCCCCTTTCATAAAGTTGGGGATATTGATTTCGGTCTGTGTGTCTGTCAGTATTTCTGTTTGTCTGCGCGATATCTCGCTTTTGAGATGGAATTTTACGCTTCCTATGGCCTAAGGAAGACACCTATTTATTTAGGGTCCAAAAAATCAAGGTTATTAATTCTGTCATTTCCAAGTGATTTATCGACAAGCCTTTGAGCTATAACTTCCTATGTGTTTAAAGATCCCAATTTCGGAGGTGAAATAGTTAAACTACCAGGTCAAAAATTCATTCATTTTGTACGTGTGTTACAATTCATTTAAGAAATAAATAACAAGTTTATAAACTTCAATGGGAATTGAAGTGGTGATATTCACGTGATCAAATCCTGTGAAGGCCGAAGGCCTTCTCAGAAGATTTGATCAAACCGAAAATTCAATTCCCATTGAAGTTTATAAACTTGTTATTTATTACTTATATATACATTTGAGACAGACGCTTGAATATTTTCGAATATAAATTATTGCATTAACCGTCCGTCGTAGATTTTGAAAAATGACGCAAGGTGTAAATCGGCTTGAATGGCGGTTACACTTCGAATTCTAAGGGAATATCTTGTTATGGGCTACCTGTGATCAGTAATAGTGAACAAACTGTTGTCTGGGAATATTTCTATTCGTGAAAATTGACAATTGATGCTGAAAAGACACAAGAAATACATCGGACACCGAAGACCGATGATAAAAAGTTGGAGGAATTTCGGTCGCCAGAAAAGGATGCATGATCCGATGGATGGAAACACTTGACAGTATCAGTTAATTTGCAATCAAGTAGGCTATTTAAGATCAAAAACATTTAACCAACGATATCAATAACTAAAGGCATGTAAACATAACACGGGGACACTAGCGAAAACTTACATTGAACTACGACAGCGCCGAGGTGTTAGTCAGCTGTTCGTGGCGTGATTGCAATGCTTTGATATTTTCCAACAGATTTACACATTTATCGTGAGTAGAATTTGATGAAAAAATACAGGTTATCATGAAGATTTAACAAGAAGTCTACCAAAAAATCAGGATAAACGTTCGAGACTGTACAGCTGAAAAAAGTGACATAAAACTTGTAAACAAAAGCTAGTTTCTATCGGTATATTCTCCATGTATACACAGGTTAAATCAATAGCCATAAACTGTATAAAATACTTGTTAACGTTGTAAATAAAATAATAATTACTTTACTTGCATATTTTGTTCATTTTTTATACATGAAATGCAAGTAGAGCAATTCATTTTATATTTATGCACCGGTAGATATTATTGCGCCGTGTGATTAGGTCACGTATTGACCTCTGACCTCAGACAAACTTCATACAGAATTGAAGATATTTGTTCTCTGTATGTTTATATAATAGAGAGATACCACAAATGTATATATTTCCGTTTGATATCTCCAGTTAAATTTTATACAATCATTTAATTTGAACCCCCCCCCCCCCCCTCCCCCATCTCTTCTAAAAGTGCCCAACCCCACCCTCACCCCCAAATTCGCGCAAACTCGTCTGTCTTTAAGTTGGGGACACAAATTCTTTGAATAATCTTGATACATATGTTTTCTGTGCACTAGTTTTCATATAAGGTACTAAAAGAAATCCCAGGCATAAAAGTTTGATAAACACATTAATTGAAAGAATCTCCATTTGCTTTGTCATATGAAAACACTGCTCAATCACAGTAGGTATTACATAGGAGAATATGGTAAAAAATAGCATAGCCAAAGTTCCTCAGGTGCGCGATGTGGCCCATATGAGCCTCTTGTTCACTCGTTTGAAGAGCCGGTTCCATATGTGTTACTGCTCAATTTTAGTCGACTTTCAGTATAACTGGCTGGCCAAGTTTTATTCTGTGTTTAAAGCAGCGAACACAAATGCTTCTAATAAATGATTTTACTGATACTCTTCTGATTGTCACCACTCGGATGTTTTTAATTCACAGTAACTTTCATTTAATGGTGTACTCTTGAGATAAGTGATATTTCAATGTTCCCGTATCCTTATCCACTTCATGTTACGTTGTGGAGTTAAGTACTAGGTATATGTGTTTAACTGCATACTTAAATCTCATTTTATATCAGTCTCTTTATCTTACTTAAACCAGCGTTTCTGAAATATTAGAAGTTAAAAGAGTATCAACTTTTTTAAATACACATATACCTCCGTATTCCGCAACAGAGTAGTAATTTGGTATTTAAAAGTTATGGTCATAGTACGAAATATTGTGTCATTAAATGTTTGGTCCCTAAAAAGTTAAAATTTATTCAATTAATAAGGCTTTTGAAATTGGATTAAAATGTTTTATTGTTAAATATCATACACAATTAGGAAGACATTGGCAACGGAAATAGAAGGTAATGTTTCCAAATATGATAGATTCATCGAACTGACTACTTAAAGATTCAAATAGGAAACTCGGATGAAGAAAACTATGAGTATTTATGTTTTGTTCTTTAAAATTTATCTCTCTTATCAGAAGGCCAGGACCCCTTAATGAAAATTCTACGCGATTTTGATGGGGCTGGGGGGTTGTTCAATACAAATCTAACGATACGTGATCAATTAGAAAACATGACTGGACGCCACCAAAAATCTGTTGAAGGCTGAAGATATTGACCTGTAAATTGATTAATTGTTGTTTTACGTCCTGTACGAGACCACTGGCGACTGAACCTTTCGTGTCAACATGTACTGGGATATACGGAATAAGATTTATTCCGTCTCCGATCTTTATGCCTTTAAGTGGACATGAAGACTTTCGGTGTTTACATATTGATCAACTCCTAACTATGCAATTCTAGAACGATGTTTAAAAGTCAATGACCACCAGATTATTTGGTAATGCAGATGCACAAAATCTCAACGGCAAATTTTAGCGTTTCCTGTTGAATGGGAGATTCTTGAGAGGGACGTTAAACAACACACACACACACAAAAAAAAACATATCTTTTAGACTACCTTTAATACATTTGAGAAAAGAAAGCATAAAGAACATAAGTAAAGGTCAAATGAAATAAGGTACATTTGGAAACTTCTTATCTCTTATGTTTCTCTGTGTTTAAGACATCGAAAATACAAAATAGCTAATCGTAAGAATAGAGAAAAAAATACATTCATGGCAGGTACAGTCAGTCAATCAGTATGAAAAATAGTCCTTTATGACAAATTATAGATAAAAAAACACCAATCTATTTGTTAAAATAGAATACATGTACCAATTCGCAAAAGACTCTTTTTTCCAAATTTTTCCTCATTAATTTATACAGATCTAAAAATCAAGACTCCCAGAACCATGGTAACGAAACCAAGGAAAGGTGTTGCATAGCCACCTAAAAATAAAATAAAAAGACACTACGTAAACATATATCTATGGAACATGACTTACAGCTTGGACATTTTTATTTCATTCATATTAAGCCTTTGTGTATTGCTGTAATGTAAATCACATTGGTATTTCAGTATAATTAATTTAAACAATTGAACGTTTTCCTAACAAAATACGGGATTTAATGTCGCAGCTTTTTGTAGAAAGAAAAACATAACCCACTTACGTGGGTAATGTATTTATGCCCTAGTAATCGGAGATTCGGTATATATAGTTTTTGTCATGTCCGTCCGTCAGTCTGTCTGTCTGTTTGTCCGCAAAATTTTTAACCTTGCCAATAACTTTTGATTTCTTGGAGCTATGACTTTCATATTTCACATGCTAATCCCTTGTCACGAGACCATTCTTGTGGTACAACATATTTAGTTTGAAATTAAGACAAGAGGCCCAGGGGCCACAGCGCTCACCTGAGCACATCAGCTAGGAAAAAACACATATCAGATCAGAACTGAAAGTTAACTTAAGTTGGGGGGAGGGCTTGAATTTTAACCCCCAAGGGGATCATAATTTGAACGAACTAGAATCTACATTACCTGAGGATGATTCCATACAAATATAACTAATCCTGGCTTTGAAGTACTTGAAAAGAAGATTTAAAAAGGTTTCCCTATATATTTCTATGTAAAACTTTGGTCGGCCATTTTGGCCACGCCCTACCCCCGGGGGTCATGACTTGAACAAATTTATATCTACATTACCTGAGGATGATTCCACATGAGTTTCATCTTTCCTGGCCCAGTGGTTCTTGAGAAGAAGATTTTTATAGATTTTTCCTAAATATTCCTATGTAAAACTTTGATCGGCCATTTTGGCCCCGCCCTACCCCCGGGGGTCATGACTTGAACAAATTTATATCTACATTACCTGAGGATGATTCCACATGAGTTTCATCTTTCCTGGCCCAGTGGTTCAAGAAGATTTTTAACGATTTTTCCTATATATTCCTATGTAAAACTTTGATCGGCCATTTTGGCCCCGCCCTACCCCCGGGGGTCATGACTTGAACAAATTTATATCTACATTACCTGAGGATGATTCCACATGAGTTTCATCTTTCCTGGCCCAGTGGTTCTTGAGAAGAAGAATTTTAAAGATTTTTCCTATATATTCCTATGCAAAACTTTGATCGGCCATTTTGGCCCCGCCCTACCCCCGGGGGTCATGACTTGAACAAATTTATATCTACATTACCTGAGGATGATTCCACATGAGTTTCATCTTTCCTGGCCCAGTGGTTCTTGAGAAGAAGATTTTTAACGATTTTTCCTATATATTCCTATGTAAAACTTTGATCGGCCATTTTGGCCCCGCCCTACCCCCGGGGGTCATGACTTGAACAAACTTGAATGTACACTACCTGAGGATGATTCCACATGAGTTTCATCTTTCCTGTTCCAGTGGTTCTTGAGAAGAAGATTTTTTAAAAATGCCAATAATTTTTCTCTAATTCATGATTATCTCCCCTTTGAAAAGGGCGTGGCCCTTCATTTGAACAAACTTGAATCCCCTTCACCCAAGGATACTTTGTGCCAAGTTTGGTTGAAATTGGCCCAGTGGTTCTTGAGGAGAAGATGAAAATGTGAAAAGTTTACGACAACGACGACGACAACGACGACAACGACAACAGACAACGGACAAATTTTGATCAGAAAAGCTCACTTGAGCCTTCGGCTCAGGTGAGCTAAAAAGTTTTATCTCCATTATGTTGCCATAGGGGGGAATCAGTGTTTCACAGACACATCTTTTTTTCTGCAAAAGCTGCGAGGTAAATTCTGTACTAACAACCAAAGTAAAACATTTTGTTTATATTTATGAAAATAAACATTCAAAGTAAAATCAAATGTTTAATATTGTATTATTCATTGTATGCATAACTGATGGAACAGCCATGTTTCAAGAAATCTTTGTTGGTGGCTGGCAATTGCCATTAATCAGTCCACAAAGGGTACAAAATCCTTTGTGGACTGATTAATGGCAATTGTCTTCCTAAGAAACAACGGAACCTAGAGGTACTGTGAACAATGAGCTCACTAAATGACACCCCTGCCTCCCATATGAATAAAATGGCAGTGTCCATATTTTGCTATGGGAAAACCAAAATATGTGTCGGATCAAATGGTAAAATAAGAGGAGCACAATTGCATTATGTAATAAAGATTCTCTGAAAGTTTCATCAATTTTCATTCAGTGGTATCAGAGAAGTTGCGGGTAAGATAGTACTCCAAAGCGTAACAGACAGACGGACGGACGGACAATCCGATTACTAAATACCCTCCCGCATTTCAAGCGGGGGTAATAATAATATTCCGTGGATATAAATATCGGATGTTATGAAGCTGTTAGCTTTACAAGAGGCCCATGGGCCTTATACGTCACCTGAGTATCGTGTAACAACTTTTCAACAATTGAATTTCAATCGTGTTTTAAATCAGAGGCCATGAAATTCACAATTCTGAAAGAGACACCATTGCTTATCATAACTATATACCTAGCATGCTTACTTTGGAAAAACATAACACCCAGAGGTAGATCAAAGTAACAGAGAGAAAACATTGGCGTCGGAAGAAAATTAAAGTGGGGGGGGGGGGGGGCTAAGTGTAAAAACAAAAATTATACCTTCAATAAAAAACCTGCCAAGCAAAAAAAAGGGAAATGTCCTTTTCGACTTGTTTGTGGAAAGTGGGGGGGGGCTAAACCTACGCAACAATGTTCCATGTCTATACTAGGTATATATTTGGAAAAAAGTGGGGGCTAAGTCCCCCCCCCCCCGGTTTCGACGCCTATGGAAAATGCATTTCCACTTTATCAGTTGTGCACCCCATCCTTCAGAAACCACTGACCCTGGGGCCACATCTTTCAAAATTTTGGAAATTCTATCAATTTAATTTCATCATGTTGATTCATACCAAAGTGTATATTTCAATGCATTAATTTATTTTCAAACTATGTGCCCGCCCCCCCCCTCCCTACCAACCTCTGTCCTATGGGGCCCAGAAATTAATAATTTTGGAAGAGGCAGCTTTCTTAGTCATATATATGTACTAAGATCATTGGCATAAGACCCAGGAGCAAAGGAAAAGATTTTCAAATAATTCATGCATTTTCACTATAAAAACATTACAGCCCCGCCCTAACACAATAAGCCCTCACCTACGGGCCCTAAAATTCACAAATCTCAAAAAGGCATCCTTCCTCCTCATAACTATGTACAGATTTCATTGGTTTAATATTCAGGCGCAGACAAAAAGATTTTAAAAGAATATTTGCATTTTCACTATATAATCAATAGAGCCCCACCCTAACTCAAGAACCTCAAACCCAGAGGACATGAAATTCACAAATTTGGAAGAGGCAGCCTTATTCAAGATAACTAGACCGTTGGTCAGTTTATTTAATTCCCACGCACAGAGAAGAAGAATTTCCAAGAATTCATGCATTTTACTATATAATCTATATATCCCCGCCCTGCCACTATCTAGAACCCCTGACCCTGGGACCACGAGATTCACAATTTTAGAAGAGGCAGCCTTATTCAACATAACTTTGCACATGACTGGTTTATTTAATGCCCCCAAAAAGAGAAGAAGAATTTCAAAAAATTTAGGCATTTTCTATATAGCCCCGCCCTAGCACTAGAACCCCTGACCCTGGGGCCATGCATTCACAATTATGATAGAGGACTCAATGTTCATTTCATTCATAGAGTAAAGAAAAAGATTTTCAAAAATTTCTTTTTTTTTGTGGTTTTTGGTCTCACCCCCTAGCCCAAGGGGGACACGGACCAAAATTCACAATTTCGGTTCCCCTTCACCCATAGATGCAATGTGCCAAATTTGGTTGAAATTTGTTTAGTGGTTTCAGAGAGGAAGCTGAAAATGTTGAAATGTTAACGCACGACGACGAACGAAACGGATAGCAATAGAAGAATTTCAAAGAATGTATGCATTTTCACTGTATAATCTATATAGCCCCGCCCTAGCACTAGAACCCCTGACCCTGGGGCCATGAATTCACAATTTTGGTAGAGGACTTGTTACATTCATGCGAACAATTTGCCTGTTTGATGTCCAGGAGTAAAGATTGATTGATTTATTATATACTGTTTAACGTCCCTCTCAAGAATATTTCACTGATATGGATACGTCACCATTGCCGGTGAAGGGCTGCAAATTTAGGCCTATGCTCGGCACTTACGGCCTTTGAGCAGGGGGGGATCTTTATCGTGCCACACCTGCTGTGACGCGGGGCCTCGGTTTATACGGTCTCATCCGAAGGACTGCCCCATTTAGTCGCCTTTTACGACAAGCAAGGGGTACTGAGACCTATTCTAATCCGGATCCCCACGGGTTTCCAGGAGTAAAGAAGAAGAATTTTAAAGATTTCATTAATTTTAGTGGTTTTGCCCCCCCCCCCGGCCTCAGGGGGACAGGGAACATGACATTCACAATTTCGGTTCTCCTTCACCCATAGATGCAATGTGCCAAATTTGGTGGAAATTTGTTCAGTGGGTTCAGAGTAGAAGCTGAAAATTTTCAAATGTTAACGCACGACGAGGGATAGCAAAGGTGACCTAAAAAGTCTTCACATTTCTTTATATTTCTACCTGTTGATGTTGATGTTTGACATCCTGCCTGTGAGAGGGTCGTTTTGGCGGGGTCTAATGTCGAGGCGATGTCAATTCCACATTTCTTTCCCGCGGCTTCTAGGCATGTTATGTAAGCACTGATAGCACTGTAGTAAAGAAAAATAGAAAAAAATTCAATTTAACAAACAAAAAGTGGAAAGAAGCTTAAAACAAACATGATAGTTCCTTGTACACTTACCCCCCCCCCCCCCTCAAGATAATATTAGTTATCCAGGTTCAATCAAGGGTGTACGGGGATTTACCCCGGGTTGTATTCCATACACCCTGAGGCCGAAGGGTGTATGGAATACAACCCGGGGTAAATCCCCGTACACCCTTGATTGGACCTGGATAACGAATTTATTTCCTTTGTACCCATAAAAATGCTTTGTAAACATGATTTTTAGCTTTTATCATAGAGAATGTATGCATTGTGACGTCACGTTTTATTTACACCCGGCTTTAGTCGGGTGCACGGATATTTACACCCGACTTTGTAACCAATCAAAGCATGTGTTGCAAGCTAGACAGGAAATAATGTGTTTTATTTCGTGTGAAATACATGCTCACCAGAAACTACATGTAGCATGTATGTTTCATGTCTGCCATAACAGTATTCTTTTAAAAAATAACCAAACAATGGGGATTTGTGTTTATTAAATACATTCCGTTTCAGTTTAAATCTGATAATTTCTAATAACTCCCTTTTTTATAAATGGCAAAATAGGGGCATTTGTCCTTATCAAATACATCCTGTTTTACTTAGAATATGATGACAATTAAGTATTCATAAAATAAAGGAAATTCTACTCTAGGAAAGGAACAGGAGAAATTTTAGGATGATTTTGTTTTCACTTCTTCCTTACAAAAAGGGCAATTGTATTTAACAAATACATCATGGTCAATTGAAAATCTGTTAACTTTCATTTCAGCTATTGACCCAAAGGTTTGTCCCTGTGGTTTTCAGATACAATATAAATACCTTATCTGTTTTCATAAGAGAGAGGAAATTCTACTTAAGGAAAAGAAGAGGAGGAGGATTACTTGTTTGGTCTCCTTTATGTTCATGCCTTTCCTTAGAAGAGGCCATGAATAGGGTATTTATGTCTATCAAACACACCTTGGTCAATTTAAAATCTCATATTGTTCATGATAACTATTAGCCAAAAATCCCCTCAACTAAATGCTTTTATGCTTTAAAAAAGAATTCTACTACAGAGCAGGAAATTTGGCTGTAATGGAAGATAGGGGATTCTTCTCTATAGTACAGATTCATAGAGAGGGGATGCTACATGTATATGGGTAAAATAAAACACAAGAAATCATACAGGGTTTATCTCGTTTTAATCAAAAAAATCACATGCATGAAAAATAGAGTGCACTGAAATAAGATATACTTACTTGCATAATTTGGTCTTGTCTTGTCCGGCCGCTGATGAAGCGGAGCCGTACTCTGTGCTACAGTCCGTTACAGCTTGACAAGTCTGTGCATCTATCCCTAAGATATCAATAACATTTTCTTGGTAGTAGCACATTTGCTAGCTAACCTTTTTATGTCTGAATTATTTTTAATACTAATATTCCCTCTAATTTATAACTTCTTTCATCTATAATTTCCCTCCTACCCCTAATATGTCTAACAAGCTCTACCCGAATAAAAAGAAAATAGAAGTCGTTATATAATTAAACTCTTACAAGAAGCTACTTATAGGGAGATGGACACATTTTCCTCCGAATTTTTCAAACCAATTTTAATGTTTAAAAATCCTACCTAAGGCATCATCTAATGATTAGCAAAAATTTGAACATCATTTGTTGATTAATGTAAATTCACCCTCATAATTCTAATGGTTCAAAGTATAAAAACTTCATTTATTTTCATTTAATATACTTTAAATTTTCCAATTATAACGAAAAAATGTGTAGGTCGCCATATTATTAAAGAGGGGAGACATAAATAAACAGACGTATATGTCAACAAAAAATATCGCACATTTTTTTTTTATAAACAAGTATGAAAAATATGTAAAAACTTCTTAAAATGCATAAATCTGATGTTGAATGTTTCGAAATACTTCCTACTTATGAGATACTTGTGAATTGTTAATTTTAGGGAAACAATTTTACATTAGATGAACAATAAAGCAAATGCCTGAATGAAGAGACCTGAGAAGTAGTAGCCCTTGTCAACTTTTTTTAAAGATTGAATACTCAGTAATTGATTAAATAAAAGAAATATGCATTTTTAAAATTGTTTAACATTAATAACAATATTTATCGGTACACTTATTGAAAAGCATTCCTCCAAAAAAATTTTGTTCTACCGGGTATGAATTTAAACTAATTACAGTTTTAGCAAAAACCTATGACATCCTAGGAGGGTGGAATTACCTTAAATAATCGAGATACGGAACTTAAAGTTCTTCATAATGTAAACAAGGCCCGTGCCTTCTTTTTGTTTACATAGAGAAAATATCATAATTATAACAAAATGAAATTCAACAAATCTATAGAAACTGTCAAATTGTATTTGATTTTTTTTAAATTATCTACTTTGAACAAACATTTATTAGTATATTAACCTATGTAAACAAAAACATGACACGGACCTAGTTTACATAACAAAGTTTGGATCTCTTATTCTGTCTCGTACCTCGACAACTGTCGTTCTAATTTTTGATGATCATTAGAAAGTCCCTAGTTAAATATTTGTAAAAATCGGGAAAAAAATCTTGAAATTTTAGCTGAAACTGTGTCCATGCCCCTTTAAGCTGGTGCACTATTAATTTTTCTTTCAACCTGTACTAAAAGCAACTGAAACGTTAAAAAATCTGGTGAATGTATGATCTTACCTTCCATGACAAGACTGACAGACAACAAAGCTGCGAGAATGGAAACTATAGCCGGTACAGACATTTTGAAATATATCTATAAAGAAAAGCATTTATTTAAAAAAAAATTAACTTCAGAAATAACAAAATTGAAAAAAAAGGTAACACGAGTTCCATACTTTCCATCGAAAGTCAACGAATACCGCAAAAATAGGTGGAGCGCAAATGAATTTCAGGCGGGAACCCTGCAACGTTAAAATGAGCCCCTGCCTCCGGGACTTAAGAGCGGGCACTCGAACAACAACGAAATGCAAGCAACAGTAAGAGAGATTTAGTATTTGAATTCAGTTGCACTTATTTGCCTTTGTGCCGTATGAGTCGAACAGTGAACGAAAAGTAAAATAAAGAAGAATGCATAAAAACTTCTTTTATAAATGGCTTTGACCTATCATTATTGAGTCAATGTGTCATCGAGTAACGTAAACTATCTGCGCACAAATTTACCCCTGCATTATTCTCATCATTATTGAGTTAATGTGAATCATCCAGTAACTATCTGCGCGCACATTAAGCCCTGCATTATTCTCTTTTTTTCCCCCTTTTTGATTATGCACCGAGAGCGCCATGCATGTTTATCTTATATTTTCCAATAAAATGGTAACAAACTTGAATTAGTGTAGAAAGACATTGCATGAAAACTGAAGTTTTATTTTTTTAATATAGGGATTCTGTTAATAGTTAAAGTTTATATATCTGCAGATTTTTTTTCTATTTTATAATTGTCATTTTTTATTTAGTCCATTTAATTTCAAGTCTCTCCATCGTCAAATTTCACAAAAATTCGCAACAATACATCTTTCTACTGTCAATATTCTTTTAAAGGCAGCTACAGCTGTAATTTGATATTATACGAAAAATATTTTATTAAGGCTATTCTTTAAACCTATACATAGTTTTAAAACAGTTTTTTTTTAAAATATAGATCTTTAGAGAAATTATTAGTTTGAATAAATTAAAATAAAATTTTTCAATTATTCCAAAACATTTCAGAATGCTGACTCAATGGCCAAAATGCGATCGTTCCTTTCACAGAAAAAAGTACTGCACTTTAACACCAATATTTAAAAAAAAAATAAGATTATTGAAAGAAATACACTGCTATAGCTGAATCATTTTTAAAAATTAAAATTGTAAGAAAAGTGAAAAAAAAATACTGAATTCATATTTGATTTTTGTCGATATTGAAAGTTATTAAAATGATAACATACCTTTACAACACCGACTGCTGAGCTATCAATTATTCCTACAATAAAGAAAAACTTCATGTTTTATATAAATATTCATGTCTTCCGCTTTCCCTTTGATTGGCTCCTGTTTTCAAGTGTTTATATTTCAACTCATTATTGTATTTCACATATATTTATGGGAAATAATACTTGAAACATTGCGACACTTGTTTGTTCCAACAAAGACGCGCCTGTTCAAGAACGAGCACATTTAAGAAAATGATTTTTTAACAAATGGTTATCAATTCATATGTTTACCTAAAAGGTTTTGAAAAGAACTATTTCTTCCAATGTTTGTTTCGATTCATTATTATTTATTGACAATAAATTTGCCAGCTTACAAAGAGGATGGCCTGACACACGGGAATACTTGTTATCATCACTATACACAAAGGAGATCAGTGATTCTTATGTATTTGTAAAGTAAAACAATCATATCAAACAAGTATACAATGGACTGTAAGAATACTTTAGGTATACACGTAAACTTATAAATTCTACAAATAAGAAAATATATTATATCATTTCAATACTATACTTCTCGTTCGATTCTTTTTTTCTTCTTCTTCACTGTCGTATACATGAGTATTTGTTTTTAATGCAAATATTTAATTCTTTTATTTTTATTTAACTTTGCTTTTTCTTTTCTGTTTCTGGAGTTTTATTCATCTTTCTATTCATTTTTTAGCTTTAAAAGTGCAAGGACACAGATTTGAAGTTACTAAGTAGTATTTTCTGAATACTATTACGACTTATATATTTTAATAGCATTTCACACAAATATATATTAAAAATCTTATTTCATCCGAAAGTTATTAAAACTTCAAATTTTTAGACGTGTTTGATTGACACATACTTGCACTTTCACGAATTTTAATTTTATTCTTAATACTTAGGAAAAGTGGCAAACTTGATGTGTATAAATGGAAAATAATAAAACTATAAACCAGAAAATTCAGATAAGAAATGTTCGAAAGCAAAAGATACACACAGTAGTACATTGTATATTGTCAGTCGGTGCAGTTGTGGTGAGCAGACTTAAACATTTCAACGCCCCAGTTAATCGTAAACATCAATAATAACAGAGCTCGTGCCCTATTTACAAAAACTGTACGTTTTACGGGTGTGATCAATTTGTTAAACTCAGTACACAAAAGCGGAATGACGATACTTGTGAAGGGGTTTTGCTTTCTAACATTTATACTGTGAAAATAATTATTTTTCTGGATTAAAGTTTTAATATTTTTCATTAATACGCAACAAGATCTCCACTTTTCCTAAATATTGAGAATAAAAGTAAAATTTGTGAGAGTGCAAGGATGTGTAAATCAAACCCATCCAAAAATTTGAAGTTTCAGTAACTCTAAGACGAAATAAAATGTTTAATATATTTTTGTGTGAAATGCTATTAAAATATATAAGTCTGATATTATACAGAAAATATTAACTTCAAATCTACGTCCATGCACCTTTAAGAACTGCATTGTACATGCATTCATTTTTGTTTAATATTATTGTTAAGCGCCTGAGGGTAATTCTTTAATTTATATTGGGCTCTCTACAAATGTTTAACTTATTATCACATTGTATATGACACAAGTGCTTGTTTCGTATAGGACCCCCTATATATATAGCTTCTTTTTTTACCACAATGTACCTAACTTATTTACATGCATCCCAAATTCAAGCCCGTATTTTGTTAATATATCAATCATTAACCTAGTTTAAAATGACTTCGTTCGCTGCAATAGATGTTTTACTTGTCAATTAAGTCGTTTCGGACGTCTCTGGTCGAGCCTCTCTATTGTAATTAATTTGCGAGATCTTACCGCCACTTTAATTGTCAGCACGCATTTCCTGTAATGTAGTGTTCAAGAGGAGAATACTTGTGCCGTGGAAGTCATGTAATTTGCATTCCTTTATATTAAACTTTAATGTATACAAGTTAAATCTGATTTGTAGAGAAACATTTGTTAAAAAAAACACTAATACCAGCTAAATAATGAAACCACACCCTCCTTCGTGGCAACATTTTACATTACAGTAATAGTAGTTGATGTCCACATCAAACATGCCCCTGGCTCCGCACCTGCTAAATGGATCAAGAAAGTCGTATACGGATTGGATTGATTGTATATTATTTACCATCCCTCTTGAGAATTTTTCAACATTATAGAGACGCCAACACTCTCCGGTGAAGAGCTACGAATTTGTCCTTTACTCGGCACTGAGGGTCATTGAGCAGCAGTCAGGGATCTTTTTCGTGTCGACACCTATTGTGACACGGGACCTTAGTTTATACGATCTCATCCGAAGGACCGTTTTCCACGTCCCACAGTGGGATTCGAACCCGCGACGTATAAGGATTGACTCCTTACTTCGCAGCTCTAGAGCAGACGTTCTATAACTGCTGCGCCACGCGGGCGACTTCGCGGATTGGAACATTTTATCTACTTTACGAACTGGCAGGTGTCGAATGATACAAGTAATTACGATTTAACAAAGTTATTTCTTTATGGATTCAATTTGTATACAAGCTACCGAATAGACCGGCGTTAATGAACTAACACATTAACCTGTGACCTTGTTTGAGTTCTGGTCACCTACCTGACACAGTGGTTAGAGCGTATGCTTATAGTCGCAGAGTTAGGAGTTGATCATTACATGTACGTCTCGAGTTCGAAACCCAATGCGGGACCAGATCCCGTGTCGCTGTAGGTGTTGGTACGAAATAACTAAATGCCGAGTATAGTTCAGAATTTGTAGCCGTCCAACGGCGTGGTGGCGTCTCCACATGAGTAAAAAATTCTAGAGAGGGACGTAAGATTTCATTTAAATCGATCCATCTTTTGTATACTTGGATAAGTATTGAAACAACTTGTATTTGTAGTTAAAAAAAATACCAATCCAGATATTTGAAAAATTTTTATTGATCGAAGAAAAAAACATAAATGAATAAAGCCTTTCATGTGTCTTTCTCTAGTATTATAGAAGGTCCAAAATAAAGTTGCCATTTATAAATGAAAATAGTATACGGTCAAATATTCAGGAATCTTTACTTTCGGACTTACAGTCATGAAGTTTGGGAAAGAAAATTAGTACATGTAATCTAATTTGTTTTATATAAAAAGTTTGAAGGGGCGTGAGTTCTTTCTATTTTTAGCTTTTTTTTCTCTTTTATTATCCTAATTTGTTTCAAAAATATCGGGAAATGATGACTCCAATAACAATGGTAAGGAAACTCAAGACAGGTGCACCAGTTCCGGCTAAAAATAGAAAAAAGGAAACATTTTACTGACACAAGTTCCTATTATAAATAACAAAGCACAGTAAGATTTTTTAACGGTACGTAATCTTCCGTTATACTATGTATATAATGTGTATTTTAAAAAAAAAACATCAGAGGTGGGATCAGGTGTCATTTAGGAGGGAGCATCCCATGCCGGGGAAATGAAATCAAAAGCAATACTCACAGCATCCTCCCTCTGACAGTGCCTCTTTGGCGGGCTTTACTATAGAATCGGTGTCACCACCACAACTTTCGGCAGCAGATTCCAGACATTTCAGATAATCTCTAGCAGCTCTGCAATATCAATACAGCACGAACATTATAACGGAGAGAATTGGTCAACTAAATGAAATGATGAACTGAAAGAAATGAATGGTTTTAATTTTTGAAGAGAGAAAGACATGTATCATGTCCTTTAGAATATAATGGTCACCAAAATACGTAGTATCGCGAGTATCTTGCAGATATCTACCTTAAGTTACTATCACTCTTTAGCTTGATAGTGGAGGAAGCTCTGGATCTCGAAAGATTTTCGGGGCATTTACATAGTTAACAGTAGTGTCCATCGAATGATTCGAGCAATAATTATCCCGAAAGTACAGTTGAACTCCAAATACTATACCGTTAAATAATTTTGGACAAATTAAAGTATTTTATCAGCTTTCAAAAGTAATGATTTTCAAGGGAAACCTCAGTGAAAGTATCGTAAAATGTAACATTTTGACGTAACATTTAACATTAGCTTATCAAAGATTTATAAGGCTGGTTCAGCGAATGTTCAACAAGACAATCCACTAGGATTTCTTTCTTATGTGTCCTTATAAATTTCACAATGTCCAGTCTTGCTTTGTATTTAATAGCACATAGCCTCCCTCCAACAGACGTTTTTTTTCCTCCACCGCTGAAGATTTCCGCAAAGTTTAGTTTTCGTGACATTGAGAACATTATGTACTGGAACAACAAAATCACCATCGACAACACCAATGACCGACACGATGATTATAACCCCTTGCTTGTGATGCTTTTCTGTCCAACATTAAATAAATCACCAGCAGAGAAACACTGACTTACTTGCATTGTTTGTCCCTGTCTAAAATCGCCGCTGCTTCAGCGGAGGCGTAGTCTGAGAAACACTTCACGGTACCGGAACAAACCTGTGCATCTATCACTGGGTAAATAAAGAACATTGATTTTTGTTCATTTTTGCCTTTAAATTCAGAATGAAGCTAATGAGTAACCCTTTTATCCTAAATTTGAACTAATCCGTTTTTTGTAGATAGTCTAACATTTTATAATCATGAACATATATAAAAAAAAAATCATACGTTGTTTTCAAATTTCCAAAAAAAAGTTTACTTCGAATATGTGTAAAATCGGAACATTCTAAAATTCATCTTCCCGAGTAAAGTTTTTGATCCGCTCAGCTCCACAAGAACCCTTGACCGAAAAGACTTAAGTTTGACGGGATTTACTATCAAACCATCTAGTGATATAATACATTTTGAACTATACTGAACCTATTCTATTGACCAATTAGAGTAAACGAATTCAAAAGAAAATTCGAGATAATATTGGAAGTCGATAATAAATTAAATATAACTCAACAAAATAGCTGAGACAAACCTTTAACTGGGCTATTTAATGACAAAGACCTTAATCTTTTCACTAAAACTGGCTTGTTTTACTGTGTACAATTTAGTTTAAGTTTAAATTAAAACAATGATTTTGATTGGTTCATGCAAACTTGCATGAGGCCAATCAGAGTACGCATTTCTAACCCCGTCAAAC